ACCTAAATTTTCTTACTGAAAATAAAGTAGTTATATTAATTCAACTAGTTCAAATAATCTCATATACCTAAATTTTCTTACTAAAAATAAACTAGTTATATTAATTCAACTAATTCAACTAAGCATTTACTAAAAATACAAGTTATATTAATTCAACTAGTTCAAATAGTCTCATATACCTAAATTTTCTTACAAAAAATAAACTAGTTATATTAATTCAACTAGTTCAAATAATCTCATATACCTAAATTTTCTTATTAAAAATAAACTAATTATATTAATTCAACTAGTTCAAATAATCTCATATACCTAAATTTTATTACTAAAAATAAACTAGTTATATTAATTCAACTAGTTCAACTAGCTAGCTAAGCATTTACTAAAAATAAACTAGTCCTATATTCATCTAGCTAACAACTTTTCTAACTAATTCATCTAACATTAATATAAACAATAGAAAACAGAAAATATGTGTGTGTGTAGTACTGTGTGTGTATGCATGTGTACATATGTGTGTGTAGTGTGTGTGTGTGTGTGTGTGTGTGTGTGTGTGTGTGTGTGTGTGCCTATGCATGTGTGTATGTGTGGGTACGAGAGCGGGCCGGGGGGTGGCGGCGTACGGGCGGCGACGAATGTGGGTAGTTGGACATGGGGCATCCCATCTGATCATTCGCGACATTTTTGCCTGGCGGAATTGACATTTTCATAACGGACCATGGGTAGTTTGGGTCTGGCGCATCCTATCTTATCATTCCCGACGTTCTTTCCACGCTGAAATTGGCATTTCCTAGAGAATGGAACAGGGGTCTCAGGCAAGACAATGATGTTCTGGCGAAAGATCGTCTATAATATGTTGAGATGAATTTTTTATAGCGAACTCACATGTACAAAGCACTGTTATATTTCTTGAAACATATAGTACAGTGTCGAAGGTGGGTAGAATAGGTGGTACAAATAATCGCTCATTCATACATTTTAGATAGTAAAACAATCTCATGTTATAGCTAGGAGTGACCCTTGATAAGCACATGTGGTTCATCAGGTTGTGTTTATTCTCTATCTCTCTCTTTATTCTCTATCTCTCTCTCTTTATATATATGCAGAAAAAGTTATTCTTCACCCGAGGTAATCTTATGATCATTTCATAAATAAATTATGTTTCAAATATAAATAGTTACAGTCATTTTAATTCATTGTGTAAAATTTGGCTAAAAAAAAGGTCAGAATACCAGAAAAAATATATTTATGTACATTTTACACTATGTTTTTACATTTGTAATTTACGTAATATAAAATATTTTTTACGGCAATTATATATTTTCTTACGTTCTCTTTTTGCGTCTAAAATAAGATAAAATTTACGAAACGTAAAATTACGATGCATTGATGTTAAAATAG